ATTTGTGTGGAAGTAATCACGAGTTTCTCAAACTAGTACACCAGGTGAAATGAATAGCTAAATAAATAAACCAAAAGTAACCCAGGAAGCCACCAGCATGTGGCAATCTCACCTGTAGATGGTGTATTCATTGGGCATTGCCGAGGTGGGATCTGAGCCGTTCTTCTTGCCAAAGTTGCCCGTCCAGAGCACGGTGTCATTGTAGATGACGATGGCTGACATGGCTGGGACGCCCGAGTTGTGCATCTTCTGCCGCAGCATCAGATCCACCTGGGGCAGGAAGGGACATCATGGACTTACAAAAGAAGAGTCTTACAATGCATCCAGTCTGTACCAGGCAATAAAAAGCCCAGACCATCAGCCCTCTTTGCTCCCAAGCACTCTAGAGTGATCCTATGAAAGGTGTTTTGGCAAAAAAAAGTATTTTAACTGTTCAGCTATTTCTTAGAAATGCTTATGTTGAGTATCCCTTGTCCTTTTTCAGTCTACATGCTCACTGTGTAAAAGAATGTGGGGCTCATGTTTGTAACAATTATGGTTAAAACCAGATACCAACACTCAATAATTGTAACTTCTTCTTTTTTAATTTKTACTCTGMATATCTGTTCTTTGCACTGGTATTTAGGRTCAAAGATGTAGGAGAAAAATACTTTTTAAATACCCCATGACACTTCCCATGCCATGAAMCACTCTGGAGCTTGGGCTCCTGTTCAAACAACAACTTGAGAAACAGCTCTGAGGAACTGAARGGCTGTGATTGCTCCTGGCTCCCTGCCATGCCAGGCCTGTGCAGAACTCCTCCTCCAGCTGTGCAGAGCTTCTCTTCCAGCTGTGCCCCACTCACCTCCTRCAGGCAGATTGCATGGATCTTGCCCTTTTGGGACTTTTTAAAGCCATGTCATCATCTCTCACATATCATTTGTATTTTCAGGCACATATTTTGTTTTGCACACCAAGGTTAGGACATAARAAATGCACTTCCAGGCCCACGTTTGAGGCAGGAAAAGCCAGACTGAGTCATGTCCTTGGGATCTCTTCACTGGATGGCTGGGGAAGGTGCACTGAGAGCCACCAGTGGAAACGTCCAGCTCATGTCCAGCTCTTCTGCTGCAGTCCTTCGCTCTCCCTCCCCATGGACCAGTGGCTGGGAGCACCAGCACCTCCTGAGAAGGGTCTGRTCTCATGGAGATCATGGAGAAAGACTTTGGACACAGACATGGAATACCAGGGCAAGGGGGAATGGCTTCCCACTGCCATAGGGCAGGGTTAGATGGGATATTGGGAAGGAATTGTTCCCTGTGAGGGTGGGGAGGCCCTGGCACAGGGTGCCCAGAGCAGCTGTGGCTGCCCCTGGATCCCTGGCAGTGCCCAAGGCCAGGCTGGACAGGGCTTGGGGCACCCTGGGACAGTGTAAGGTGTCCCTCCAGTGGAAGGTGTCTCAGCCCATGGGAAGACATTGGAATGAGATGAGCTTTAAGGGCTCTTCCAACCCATGAGAATCTAAAATTCGTGTCTTGGCTGCATCTGGGAAAAGGAGAATGGAAGCCAAACCGATAACACAGGTGGTCAAAGACTCAAAACATTATCGACACTGCAGCTTCTGCAAGCCCACCAATCATATACTGATGAGTAGCTAAACAGCTGCCTCACTAGCCAATGTATGTTTGCCACAAATGCATACACTTGTTGCTAAATGGATAAAAGGGTCTCTGCCCTGGAATAAAGTTGTTGTAGTAGCTGTAGTTGTAGTTGTAGTTGTAGCTGTAGCTGTAGCTGTAGTTGTAGTTGTAGTTGTAGTTGTAGTTGTAGTTGTAGTTGTAGTTGTGTGTGTATATGTGTGTCTATTATTTCGTGTCGCTGTCTGGCCAACAGTGACAACCCTACACCCCTGGGGAAAGCAGCACCAAAATCCACCTCCCCTGCACCCCTGGATAAARGCAGCCATGGACTGTGTCCCCCTGTTCCCTGCTCCCCACAGACCTTCTCCAGTGCTTCCTTCAGAATGGGGATGGGGTGGTCCAGTGGGACTGGCTCAGGATAGCGGGGACACATCTGGACAGCCTCTGACCTCACCTCCATCACAGATGGGCCTGCAAAACAGTTCAGGGYGACAAAGGTGACCTCAATGGACACATGGAGAAGCTCTGACCTCACCCAGCAGCCACCACAAGCTTTCTTGCTTGTGTTGGCCTGAAGGGACACTTTGGCGTAGGGAAAGACAATCCTAAATTATTTCTGTCTCATGTAAAACAGAATTTGCAGGGAGACTATGCTGCATTACTGCTTATTCTAACATGGAATGGACACAAGATGGACACAGGATGTACTTCAAATGACTCTTCAACCTGGGAGAGCAAAGATCTGCAGCTACTGGGGTGCCTGGCAGTGGGGTTAGCCCCTCCTGGAAGTGGGGCTTGGGAAAAAGGGAARGTAAAATAGAAGAGGGAARAGGACAGTGGAGGTTAAAGGGAAGAAGAAAATTATATTGAACGGGAAATGGGAATAGAGGACAGAGAATGATCTTCCCCCGGGGAAAGGGTCAGGTAT